AAGAGAGGTAGAAGAAAAGGGAAGGAAAAGGAGGAAGGGGAAAGAAAAGGAAGAAGGGGAAGGAAAAGGAGGAAGGGGAAGGAAAAGGAGGAAGTAGAAGAAAAAGGAGGAAGGGGAAGGAAAAGGAAGGGAAAAAGAGGGGGGAAGAAAGAAAGGGAAAAAAGAATGGGGGGGAGGACAAAGAAAGGAAAAAAGCAAAATGCAAGGAGATACAGAAAAGAAATAAAGACAGATGAGAAAGAGAAGAAGACCTCTCTACATCCCTGAAGCCACACGTTCACAGCCAGAGTCTTTTCACCTGGACAAACACGGTGAAGAGGATGACAACAGTTGTTGCTGCAATGAAGAGCTTCTTCCGGCCGAAGTCTGGGAGCAGGAAAACCAGGGAGAAGCAAATGGCTCCTCGGAGGCCCCCGTAGGCAATAATGAACTGGTCTTTACTGGTGATGGTGTTGACGTGACATCTGTTCACCAGGAAGGTCAGCACCAGGACCCCTGGGAAGCAGGTGGGAGCACATCAGACAAAGAGAGAAACAAAACACAGTCATGATGGGATCTGGTCTGTGCCTTCCACAGCAAACCAGCCCTGAGCTGGCAAACACCAGTCCCCAGGGGCTGGATTCCCAGTATGCTACTGGAGAAGGGCTTTTCCTCCAGCCTGGTCCAACACGTTTGCATCCCAATTGTCCAGATAGAAATGAACTCCCAAGGTCTCTGCTCTGGGGGTTGCAAACACCAGTGATCAGGCAGAGTTTGGGGGTTTTGCTACGACTCTCACATTGTAGGGAGTTCATTTGGTAACAAATCCCCTTGTTGTTTTGTTTGGTTTTTTTTTAACAGTCCACCTGAGAAACTGGAGTTCCCTTCAGAAGGACTCTAAGCTCTGCAGGGGGGTGTTAGTGGCTGCAGGTCCCCAGAACACACCCCTGCCCTGCTGAGCAGACCCAAAGCACCAGCTGAACACTGAACTAACAAGAGCCATGGGCAGCCAATTCTCCCCCAGCACATCCAGAGCTGCTGGATGGGTCCAAGCAGCTCAGAGCTTCATCTCAACCTCCAAGGCAGGAGATCTGGAGCAGCACCCTGTCATTCTAGAGTCTTTTAGGGGCCACCCTATCCAGGATCGGCTACCCAGGGTGATTTTCAGCCCTGGTTTCCATGCTCTTATTTCATTCAAGAGGGATTTTGAATATAAAGAGGGTTTTCTTTCTTGGCTGCAACACTGAGCCCTTCTAAGACTGGGCTGCATAGTTGGAGACTGAAGAGCCAGAGGGTTGTCAGGGAATGTTGCTCTGCTCCTTACCTCTTGCAATGAAGAATTCCTGAACTAAAGAAAGTCAAGAAGGAAGAATTCTTCAACAACAACAACAAAGTCAAGCTCACTCGGAACTTCTTCCCATGTAAGCAAACAACTTCACAGGAACCCACTTCAGCAGAAGGAAACATTTCAACTTGTGCACAACTCATGAGCACTTTTCCAAGTGCATTGATGGTGCAGAGTTACCAAAACAAACCTTGGCACGTTATCAACAGCCACCAAACCCCTTTCTGTTCTGTCTTACTCATCATGGACTGTCCTATTTCAGCCATTTCTAGAAGTGTCCATCAAATTGGAGTTCACTTCGTTTGACTCCGTGGTGTGTGAACCTAAATCCCGGGGAATGTTTCTCAGCTCTCCAGTTCTTGGCCAAAAAAAAAGTTTGCTCTTTTATATCTGAAGACATAGTTCATACCTAAACACCTCCAGCAATGAGAAGGTGGGCCCTCAGGACTGCTGGGATTTACTGCACAGTGTGAGAGGCAACAGGGAATCAGCCTCTCCAGATCAGCACCAGACACAGCTAGGGACACCAGTTCAACACTGCCCCTGTTCTGATCATTTCTGATGCCTAAAAAAGGAATTCCAGACTACTCTGGGACCAGGGCTCAGGTTTTTATTCTACCTGAGCTCGAGATTATCTTTAGTCACAAATATCAGGAAGGTATTTTCATGTTTAACCCTCTTGGAATCACCAAGTCTTGGTCGGTTTTATCCCGTGGGGTTGATCAGACACTGCAATGGGTTTCCTGGGGAGGTGGTGGAGTCTCTGTCCATGGAGATACAAGCCATCTGGACACAGTTCTGCCAAGCTGACCCTGCTCAAGCAGGGCCATATGTCCTTGCCCATGCAGGAGGATTAGATCTAGTTGATCTTGAAGGTCCCTTCCAACCCAAGCCATTCCATGGTTCTATCTCGAGAGGTCCCTGCCAACCTCAGCAATTCCCTGTTTCTGGGCAATTCTGACATTCACAGCCCTTATCTGAAGTTCTTGAGGAGGAGCAGAACCATCCTCACGTTTTTGCCTTTCACCTCCATTTTAGGTCCCAACTCCCACCCACCCAGAAGTCAGCTGTGCAAAGCAGAGCAGCATCTCCAGACCCTTGAAGGTTCCTCCAGTTTCCCCATTAAAGAAGCTCCTGAATACAAGCTCCTTATGAATTAAACCCCCTGGAGCTCTGCAAGGCAGAATGGGCAGCCAGAGCCTCACACAGCTCTCTGATTCCCAAGCTGTGTACTTCAAATCTCCCTCATATTGTGAAGATATGAAGGGACCAAGACACACTGACATGGGAGAGGAGCTACAGGGGGAGCAGGAAAGGATGGTGGTGGGGGCAGGAACCTTCTCTCAATTAATGCAACCCCATTTTTCACTCCCATCAAGGAAGAAATCTTATTTCACCATACCTAGTGCTCTCCAAATGAGACAGAAAATGACAGTGAAGCAGATGTATGGCCAGTTCCACTCGTGGTTTTCTCCAATAGTGGAAACCCCAAGGAAGATGAAGATGAGGGTTTCACTGACGCTGCTCCACATCTTCATGAAGTATTTGACTGTGGTGTGAGACTTGAGAGAGATGTTGGCCTCCACGTAACGTTTCATGCCCATGGCACAAGCAATGATGCTGAGAACATAAGAACAGGAGTTTTAGAGGGTTTTTTTCTGCTTAGGCACACAAAATTGGCACGTTAAAAAAAATTGGGTTCATCAAGTCTTACATGCTTGCAGACATCTCAGGATTCACTTCCTATATCTGCCCAACAATATCAAGAGGACCAGCAGGACAATAAAACACTATATAGAATCATAGAATGATTGGGTTGGAAGAAACCTTCAAGGACATCAGGTTCCAACCCCCCTGCCTGGGCAGGGACACCTCCCACCAGCCCAGGCTGCTCCAAGCCCCATCCAACCTGCCCTTCAGCACTGCCAGGGATGGGGCAGCCACAGCTTCCCTGGGCAACCTGGGCCAGGCTCTCACCACCCTCACACCAAAGAATTTCCTCCTCATGTCTCACCTCAATCTCCCTCTCCCAGTTTAAAACCATCAACCCTTGTCCTCTCCCTCCCTGCCCTTGTCCCAAGTCCCTCCCCAGCTTTCCTGGAGCCCCCTCAGGCACTGGAAGGTGCTCTAAAGTCTCCCTGGAGCCTTCTCTTCTCCAGGCTGAACACCCCAACTCTCCCAGTCTGTCTCCAGAGCAGAGCTGATCCAGCCCTCTGATAATCTCCATGTTCTCCTCTGGACTCTCTCCAGAAGCTCCCTGTCCTTCTGAAGGTAGGAAGCCATTGACTCCATGCAAGCAAGAGAGAATAAAATGTTCAAGCAGACTCCTGAGGCTGCACAATGAGCCCAGAAACACTGTCACTCCCCTCAGCCCATTTTACTCCCTCAGGGGTTGCACCCCCAAGGTCACTCCAGAAGCCTGCAGCCCCAGTTAGAACTTCTCCCTTGCCATTTCTCATGGCTAATTGGTTCCCCAGGTTCCAAGGCACGTGTGCTTTGCCTAATGCATCAGCTTTTCAAATCAATACCTTTTCAGACCAGCAACCTTTCAAGGGCAAAACAACTGAGCACCCAAAAAACTGCAGCTCCATATTTTTTTATATTTTAACCCAGGCAGAAACATTTTCATCTAAAAATTGTACCAGCAATAGCAAGACAGCTTCACATTGCCAAGGTCCAATATCCATTGGCATTGGGTAAACCCATCCACGTGGAGTTTCATTGCATTCAAAAGTCCTTTCATAGAGGACATCATGGTTAATCTCTTTGCAAGCCTACAGAGAAGTTGGACCAGAACTTGCAGAAGTGCCTCTGGGCCTGGCAGACTGACTGCAAACACCAGCTGTGACCAGCACAGGTAAGTGACCCACCTGGATGCAAACAGGTGGTAAGGTAAGTGGAGGACTTCACAGCACATGGTCCATAGTCATAGAATCCTAGAGTGGCTGGGGTTGGATAGATCCTCCCAGCTAAGAACTGCTCAGAAAACAGCCACACAACTGCTGCTGTGCAGGGAAAGCATCACATTTAACCCCAGAACTTCATAAAGGGAAATATTTGCATCATTCAGGCTTGCATGGGGAAAACCAAACCAAACCAAGGTTGCCCCCGCAGCCAACAGGACAGGCTGCAAAGAGGCAGAGCTGTCTGTGCAGCAGTGGTGGTTTTACAACCTGTGTGAGACCAAAGACCTCAGATCTCTCCTCCAGAGGTCCCTTCCAACCCCACCACGCTGGGACTCTCCCAAACTTACGTTAAACCTTCTCCTGACACTTTTCAGTGACTCTCTGCAGACAGCTCTCCTGGGCAGGTGAGCTGCTGGGACACACTTACGCCACGATCCCCGAGAGGTGGAACATCTCAGCAGTGAGGTAGGAGAGGTAGCTGTAGAGGAAGACAAAGAGGGGCTCGATGACGCGGATGTCCTTGGTGAAGCGCGTGGTGAAGGCGGCCGTCATCCCGAAGGTCAGCCCTACTAGGATTCCTCCTAGCCCAACCACGAAGAACTTCCCCACTCCAGCAAAAACATCCATGCTCTTGATGGTTGGCATCTCGCAGAAGGAGCGAAAGAGCTTGTAGAGCACCTGGTGAGAATGGTCAAGGGAAAAGAAGCCGTGAAGAAGACGTTCCCCAGAGGTGGCTGCTGGCAGCGATGGCACTCAAAGCTGCTGCTGGGATTTCTGCCAGTGGAGGGTCAACAACCTGCTCTGGAGGTCAGGGTCCCACCTGGAGCATCTGCCTGAGGAAAGGCTGGGGGAGCTGGGGCTGCTCAGCTGGAGAGGAGGAGGCTGAGGGGGGGTCTGATCAGTGCTGGTCAGTATCTCCAGGGGGTGGCAGGAGGATGGGCCAGACTCTGCTCAGGGGTGTCCAGGGACAGGACAAGGGGCAATGGGCACAAACTGGAGCTCAGGAGGTAGGACCTGAATATTTGAAAATCCTTCTTGACTCCGAGGGCCCCAGAGCCCTGGGACAGGCTGCCCAGGGAGGTGGTGGAGTCTCCTCTGGAGACATTCCAAACCTGGGTGGACCCGTTCCTGTGTGATGTGCTCTGGGTGACCCTGCTCTAGCAGGAGGGTTGGACTAGGTGATCTTCAGAGGTCCCTTCCAACACTGAGGACTCTGTGACTCCATGAGTGCTGAGGCACTCACACATCTTTCTCCAGACATACAAAGAGCTTGTTCCCCCACAAGCTTCTCAGGACCTCAGGCCAGAGAAGGGGACCAGGAATCCTCTCCTAGAAGCAGCTGTTGATATCTTTTCCCTCTGCAGCCCCCACATCCCACCTCTGGGCACCAGCCCATCCTTCCCCTAAACACCAGAGACACCAGACAAAGCCTGGTCCTTACCACGGTCACCGCGTCGTTGAGGAGCGACTCGCCAAAGACCAAGATGTGCAGCTTCTCGTTGACATGGATCTCCTCAAAGACAGCCAAGACTGCCACGGGGTCCACAGCAGCAATCAGGCTGCCAAACAGGAGGTTGTGGAGCAACGACACGTCCTGCAGCTGGAAGGCTTTCACCTGGCAGATCCCATAGAGGGAAAAGCCAATCCCGAACACGTTCCATATCGTCCCCACCACCGCGTAGAGGAGGATGGTGCCCATGTTCTCAAAAAAGGGCCTGCTGGGCATGAAGTACCCAGCATCAAGGACAATGGGTGGCAGCAGGTAGAGGAAAAAGATGTCACTGTCCATAACAGGGGGTGACTTGTCATTTAGGCCATAAATGATTCCTCCCATGATGAGTCCTACAAATATCAACAAGCAGCTTTCGGGAACGACAGAAGGCAGCCTGTTGTAGAGATGAAACCCTGGGAGAAGATGGACAGACAAAGAAATGATCATCTCACCAGCCCAAAGTGACTACAGGGCCCCAAGCTACTCCTCCATGGGGTGAAGAACCACCTGTGGTCCCATCTTCAGCAGGTAACACACACACAAATAAGGTGGAGACACCACATCGGAAATGGGCTAGAAAATCAGAGTTGACTGAAAACACCAAATTTCCTCAAATTACTGCTGCTCCAGGCTATGTTTCACCATAGCATCAAGGTTAAAGACATATTTTCAGGTAATACACAAGTAGAAAAACTAAATCATCTGCACAAAGAAGCAAATATTTGGAATTATTTCTGAGGTGATCTAGGTGTCCTCAGCATGAACAGAAAGAGCAGCTGCTGATTTTAAACCCAACAGAGACTCTCTATAGTTAAAAATCACAAAAAACATTCTCATTACTTACTAATTGTGCCACTTTAAATAGTATTTAATTAAAAAACCCCATAAAGCTAAAGACAAGATTAAAAAAAAAGTCCATTCAAACCAGTCTCCAAGCCCAAAATTAGAGAGAAATGTTGCCAATCATCAGACACTCCAGGTGAGTTATTAAGAGAAACTGGACCAAAGCAAAGTAGAAGAAGGGAAAAAAATAATCTGTGATGATGATGATTTCTTCATGCATGTTAATAAAATTGATATCTCATCCTATAACATGAAGGAGAGCAAAAGAAAAAGACTGTTCTCATCTGAAAGAAATTCTGGGCTAAAGACATCTCAAAGATTTCTCCCTTCTATGGAAAAAACCCCACAATTCAAAATAGCAGTGATTTGAGAGAGTGATCCCAAATCCTGGGGGAAAAAAATAAATGATAATTTAAAAGATAATTCATTGTTTCCACTTTCCTGTGCTCAGTTTCTCAAGGCAACAAAAAACAGGTCCAAGCTGTTCAAATATCCTCTCTCAGGTGTTGTTACACTGGGAGACTTTGGGTCAGGCTGCAAAACCCCCTGCACAGGGGTTGCTTTATTCCTTTTGAAGACCAAGGAGTCTTCATGTGAAGATGAAGATGCCAGGGGACAACCCACAGGCAGTGTAGGTGAGAAGCTCATGGAGATAAAATCCCCTCAGCGTGTCCTGAGGTTGGCTACAATTCCCAGAAACCCTGATAGTTTTCCTACTAGCACCACTGGCAGGCACAGGTGGGAATTTCTGGGTGGGAAACCATCATTTCCAACCTAAAGTGCAACTGGGTAGCTGTTCTCTGGGCGTGCAGGTGTGTCTGGCACACCCTGAGGATCTCACTGACATCTTCCCTCAGGCCCCCAGACTGGAGAAGAGGTGCAGCAAAGACCATCCCTGCCCACACCATCCCCACGGAGACCCCGTCCTTCCTCACCCCCTCCAGATGCCTTACCTATTTTGGCCAAGGAGGCGAGCATGATCCAGAGGGTGATTTCGAAGGGGACTTGGACATGCTGGTAATCCGGGGAGAAGAACGTGTGCTCCGAGGACTGGTTGCCCTGGGTCTCCTCAGCAGCCCAGCTGATGTTCTCCAGGATGGAATCCTCCAGCAGTGGCATCGCTGGGGAGCCTTGCAGGGCTCTGACCCTGGTGGTTTGGAGGCTGGAGGAGAGCAACGACCCAGCTAGGACTGCAGCTGCAGCTTTGCCCCTGGCCTGTCCCTCCATCTGCCCTGGAAACCCTCTCGGCGCGGGGAGCGCGGCCGGGGCGGCGTGAGCTGCTGCCAACAGAGGAGCCTCTGCTCCGCCTCACGCTGCCTCTCTCCCTCTCCTCCCTGCCCCATTAGCTTCCAGCTGGGAGACCCTGCTGGGGAGTTGCATCCTTTGGCACCACATGCCCAAACAGGCAGAGGCTCCTCCTGCAGAAGAAAAACCTTAGACCGAGGGCAGATCCATCGCGTGCTTGAGAAGTTGCACTTTAGTCCTAACTCTTGGCATATTTTGGCTTCCAAACTCTCAGAAACCCTTCCTGGAGGGGAAAATCAATTAATTCACTGCTGCTAGAGCAGCCAGGCTTTGATGGAGCAGCTCCCACACCAACCAGCCCCATCCTGAAAGGAACCCATGTCGCAGTGGGTTTCACTGGGTGCCTCCAGTGCCCACAGAGAGAACAGGCAGCAGCAACATTGCTGACAGTCACAGTTCCCACCTGGTAAACCAAGCAAAGCACCCAGCTTCTTCTGCCAGATACTGAGCTGCAGCATCACACTGGAGAGAGGGCACCTGAGCTGGAAGAAGCTGCAACAACTGCTTAAAGCTTCTTCCTATAAGAAGGAAAAGTTCTCTTCATCTCTCTTCACTACCTGAAAACGCATCAAAACCTGAGGGAACTTGCCTAGGAAAGTTGGAGGGAGAACAAATAAGATATTTACAATGATGTTAAATATATTAATAATAAAGAGAAAAAAAAAACCCACGAGATTGGCCTGAATTCCTCCACTGTGGAGTCTCATTTCAGTGGACGATGTTTGAACAGGGATGATTTTGGTCCAAAGACCACATGTAATTAAAAGCCAGAGCCCCAGGCTGCTGCTGGGCTGGTCGATGGCCTGTTTGTGTCTCTTCAGCTGTCTGAATGCCACCAAAATTGAGCTGCTGGTGACCCACTTTGCTGTTGCAGAGCCAGAACCCAACATCATGCAGACACTGCGCCTGGGTTCACGGGAGCTCCCAGTTTCTGATCCAGTTGAAGGAGGATAAACCTGGGAGACAGGAGAGATGCAGGGACACACTCCAGGAGTGACTTCTTTCTATTTGACCATGGTTAATTTGAATTAACAGCATGTCTTCAAGGGGGAGGAGACAGGATCCCTTGTTCCTCTGAAGGAGGGATAGGAAAGTGCTCTTAACAGCAGGGAAGGGGTAATTAAGAAATTGCTCAGGCAGAGCTAAGAGCAGGGGAAGCATTTCTGAGCCTGGGCTCACAAGCCAAACCATCACATTCCTTCTTTCTACTGAAATACTTGGTGAACTTGGGAGTTTGGCTACTTGGTGGCACAGAAAAGGAGTTTTGCCAACTTCCCATTCCCCCCCAGCCCCAAACAATCCATTTAGATTGTTGCTGTTCTCAGGAAAATAAATTTTAAAAAAAAGCAAGATAGTTAATATTTGTTTGCATTTACCTTCAGCCAAACATGAAATGTTTGCATCTTGGACAGAGAAAAAAAAAAAAGACCTGCAACATGGAGCTCAATAGCACTTTCTGGAAAATGTTCTCATGTAGGGAATCAATATCTATTTGATAATGGAGCCAGAAATATAAAACCCCAGTAGACAGTATTTGAGGAAGGTCAGCAGAGGGGATAAGATGAAAACATCCTTCATTTTTCAAATGAAGTGAATTTCTACAATCAGGACCTTAGGGACTAAGCAAGAGGGGAAGTGAAAAGACAAGCAGGATGCTGATTTCCCTTAACTGCTCAGCAAAGCTCTGTGGACAGAGCAGAACATCCCATGGTTCTTAGAAACATCCCAGATGTGAACAGAAGCTCCTGCAGAGCTCCCAGCAGCTGCTCCAAAGCTCCTCTGCCCTTCCCAGCCCAAAAACCAGCACCCAGGCTTGGGCAAGGATGGCAAAAGGCTCCTGGCAAACATGTTGGACACTGTATTTCAACCCAATAAGAACCTTCAAGTTTGCTTTTAGGGTTTGGAAACTCCCCGTTTTGCTGATTATTTTGCCTTAAAGTTCTATAGAAATAGATAAATGGATCTATATAAATGGATCTCTATCATTATAGCTGAGTTACAAATAAACCAAAATGTTTTTGCCAAGTTCTGATCACAACAGACACGTTGTGCCTCTTGTAATGGTTATTGATGTTATTGAGCCACTTCTTTTCGTGTGAGTGCCATTTGATCATATGTTTATTGAGATGCTTCCCTTTTTTTTCTCTCATGTAATGTGCTTTCCTGGGTATTTAGGTTTCTGGGCTGGATTCTGATCCCCAAAATTGTATTGACAGGTACCTTGTTGCTGATAGAATGGAGAGAAGAACAGAGTGTTGTGGTAGCAGTGACCAGAATTCAGGATCCTGCAATGAAAATGTTTTGTTAAATCAACTGTTTTAACCCTTTAACACTCCTTAATCAATGAAAACAAATCATTTTTCCTTACTTGGAGAGCAAAAGATGTGAAAACTTTTTCTCCTGAAGTGTAATCACCTTCCAGTCCACACTAACTTCTCCACTATGAATGCATGAATCACTTAACAACAACAAAATATTGCAAATTAAATTTCATTTCCCATCACCTCCTGAATTTCACTGCTGAAATTTTATGAAGGAAACTTAGAACAAGCTCATGCTTTATATGAGGGGAAAGAGAAAATATTTGCACCTTTAGCTGTGTCACTGCAAAGCCTTCCCATATTATTTGGGTCTCAAATCAGGAAATCATTGAAGTATTTACTCAAATAGGAGAATGCAAAATTTTGGGGGTTTATGGTTAATAACATATGAAAATCTTATGCTGGACTGAGGCCTCCCAGACCCACCCAGCACAAAGAAACCCACTGTTTCATCCTCTCAGAAAAATTCACCAGGCTCAAAACTCACCAGACACCTTCCTCTCCCTCCAGGGCCACTGCAGGATTTCCCACTGCTGGGAATCCTGCCCATTTCCACTCCCCAGTGCCACTCAGGTCATGCTAGTAGAATTATTCCTTAGAACCTAGAAGAAAACATTGTTTATTTCAGGGAATAAAATGCCAGATCTGGGGGATCCCAGGAAAGCACAAAGCCCAGGACCAGCCTGTGCCATCCCGACCTGTGGCAGGAATAAAGGGTCTTTTCTAAGAAATACTTGTTTACTGACCTCAGAAAAGCTTAAGGCTTCTTTGTCTATTCCTATACTATGAAAGTTTAATATTTCCTGAAATGGAATGCAGACACCTCGTGTCTATTCTCAGTATGGTTTTTGGCTTTCCTTACAGGAAAGCAAGAATGTGAATTATTCCTACAGGAGCTCCTGGCTTCCTCCAGGGAAACCCTCCTGTGTGCCATCCCTAGGGATTTCATTTAGTGATCACCCAGATGATGTCTGGGATCACCCAGATCATGTTTTATTGTTATCACCTTCCTCTCCCTTTTCCAGGTATATTTATTTTTCCCCTACCCTAAAGAACCTTCATTTTTGCACAAAGCAGCCACCAGATTCATATCCAGGAGCCTCTCCAGAAAAGCCCTACCAGGGTGACAGGCTGGCTCCCTCTCCACCCATCACTCCAAGCACAAAGCCAGATGATCTCCTCAGGGGCCATGGATTTAAACTGGAAGAGGAGAGATTTAGGTTGGACATGAGGAGGGAATTCTTCAGTCTGAGGGTGGTGAGAGCCTGGCCCAGGTTGCCCAGGGAAGCTGTGGCTGCCTCATCCCTGGCAGTGTTGAAGGGCAGGTTGGATGGGGCTTGGAGCAGCCTGGGCTGGTGGGAGGTGTCCCTGCCCATGCAGGGGGTTGGATCTGGATGATCTTTAAGGTCCCTTCCAACCCAGACCTTTCTATGATCCCATACAGTGTCTCAGAACCTACACAACCATAGAATACACAGCCTCATTTGAGCTGCTTCTGCATGGGAACAGGTACAAGGTCCCCAAGAAAAGCTGTGGGACACACAGATAAGCTCCTGAAAAGTTACCTGCACACTCCCTCTAATCAGCTCATTGTGAAAAGACAAACCACAAGTGGTAAAGACACCCACACCTGGCATGCAGGTGTGACCTTCCCACTGACACCAGCACAGCCATTGCTTGGGTGCATGCCCTAGACTTGAAGGTGAAAGCCATTCTCCTTCATGAACATGCCAAATCTCCCCCCATCCAAGTGGATACTACTCATATTTTCACCTTCTTTTCAGCTTTTCCTCATTGTCAGAAATTTGCCATGACATTTCAATACCCCACTGGGGACTGCAGGGAAAATATTGAGCTTTATCCTGAAGCAGCCAAGCCAGAGGAGTCCAAATTCCTACCCCCCTGCCAGCCTGTGAGCAAACACATTAAAAAAAAAACCCCACATGAAGCAAACAAGCAACTTATCAAATAGATTTAATCAGACCTGAAATCAAAACCAAGCCCCTCATCCCACTTCCCTTGCTGGGAAGAACCAGACTCACAACTAAGTGGAAAACCCCTTAAAATTAAAAGCCAGACTGTGGGGTTTTTTTTCTCAGTATATCATGAATATATTGAGTAATTCACTTGGTGCTGCAGTGAGCTGGGGGATCTGATGTGCTGCAACCCCACAGAGCTCAGGCAAGGAGGCAGGTTTAATTTAACACCAGGGACTTCGTCCAAAAATCTAGTTTGAGGAGAATTGGCACCAAACGACGTTGAGCAAATTCAATATTAATCAAGAAACGAGCAGAGGAGAAGAAACCAAAGAGAATCAGAGATTCTCTTGACCCATCAGGAAGCCACAAGACAATGTTTACACCACGAGATGCAAATGTGGGGGCTCATTGCTTAACATTTGCCCAACTTGAGAAATCCCTGATTTCTCACTCATACCTTGCCCAAATGGGGACAATCTGGCACAGATTTCCTCCCCTATCAACATGAGGAACA